TAGACCCTAGTTTCAGTATGTAGATAAAAATAGTTATTGCGAGTGTACCTTAGAAGATAGCCATATAGGTACTATTGTAGACTTTTATGTAGGTCTTTTTAGGCCTACAATTTTCTGTTTTGAAGTTATCTTAAGGTTTAACCAGCGTTAGCCTTATAAGTTTCTAAAGACAACTCGATAGAAACATGTTGTGTTTTCCCGTGGGAATAAAAGGTTTTCCTGTAGCAAACATAAACATTTGGTAAAATTGGTTCAGTACTTTTTGAGTGAAATGCAAAAGACATACAGATAAACAAACAAAAAATTGAATTACTATTATCTTGGGGTCTATATTTTGTACACAATACGTAATAGTTAATTTTTTAAAAACATTTCACGTATAGATTTCGCTTTGTTAATATTTTATTATACGTATAGATTAAAGGTTTATTGCGAAAAAACAATAGGGTTTTTATCGTTGAAAAATAATTCCCCCAGAGATTGATGCCATCATCTAAGCTTACGTACGTACAGAGCCTGCAAGTTGTTGAGGATGATTCGTGGTTACTCATTATAAAAATGTGTGTACAGTTATTTCTATAATAAAACCCTGGTTAGTGGTTCCGCTATTATTATAATAAAAGATAGCCCGTTAGTTATAAAAGTTATCTATTCACCCGTCAAAATCTCCTTAAAATCGGTAGAGCCGTTTCGGAGATAAACAAAAGACAGACTTTTTGTACTTAGATACCCTATAAGCTTATAAATCATGTCTTCGAATCGATATATGGCAATACTAAATTATGCAACAAAGATAATGTATTTATGTATGTGTATGTATTCAGCCCTTTTTAACGTCCCACTGCTGGGCAAGATCCTCCCTTCAATACGAGGGGGATCAGACCATAGTCCACCACGCTGGCCCAGTTCGGGTTGGCGGACTTCACATAGCTTTCGAAAATCCGTCGTGGAAATCATGGAAATGATTCGCATATGAAAATATAAGAGGTTTTTTATGTGTGAAAAAACTCGGGATTTGATCCCGCATCACTCGGTTTCTCAGGCGAGCGCGTTACCACTGAGCTAAAACGCCTAATACAAGCAAAAATAATATAAGGCTTCAAGTTTATTTAGTATTTGTGTGTAGATAAGAATAGGTTCACAAGAAAACAACAACTATTTTGACATCATTTATTTTCCGGTATAGGAGGTTCCGCAACACATCGCGATGAGTATGATCTGTACAAGTACATCAAATATCAAAGTAACATACATGTATATAATAAAATGTAAATATATATAATGTACTATAATGTTGGCACCACGACACTCGTCGGAATGGACGCTAAGAAAACTTCAGTGAATGATTCGATCAACGGCTTCCGGTCAATGCTTGGAAAATTTTCTCTTTTTAAAAAAGTTCTCTTTATCTTGTCAAGGCTTTAAATTTCTTCTTCTCTATTTTAAAACTTCTGAAGTGTTCTTTAGAATTTAACAAAAGCTCGCTATTTTAACGTAATGTTAAACCGAGGTTGTATCAATTTAAAAAAAATAAAAGTATTGAGCTTGACTGATTTTGAATGATATTGTAATGTCAATAGCTTTTGCGAGATTTTGATAATAATGTATACTAATATTATAAATGTGAAAGTTTGTGAGTATGTATGGATGTTTGTTACTCTTCACGCTAGAACGACTTAAAGGATTTGGATGAAATTTGGCACACAGATAGATTATAGTCTGAAGCCGCTAGTAATACATATAATGTTGCCATTCATGTTATTTTCAGTTTAATAACCAAAAAGAATTGTTTTTATCGTATCATATTTTTATACGATAGAGTTCAGAATCATAATGGGATTGCAAATATTTTCTCAATATTTTCAACAAAAACAAGAAAAATAACTAAAACCTTTAAAGACCGATGTTTTTTTCAAATAGATAAATTTAACCGTGTTTTTAAACAAATTCTTGACATTGACCGGATACGATTGAATAATTTCACGTGTACACAAGTATACAATAACAGAGGTGCGGGGTCGCGGGGTCGCGGGGCTTCTACAGGAAATGGGGTGTGCAAAGTAGGTCCTGAAAGAGATATTTTCAATACTTTCTTCATCTATCTATCTATAGATTTCTCTAACTATTTTCGATCTACATGAGCTAAGATGTATTATGTCACTGTGGAATTATGGAAGAGTTTTCAAAGACGGTTTCAGCTACCAGACCGACTGGTGCAGATATTGCCTTGGACGGTAATCGAACAGGTGACTTCAGATTTAATAACCAATGCTTACCACGTACCATATGAGTTTTAGTTTGAAACAGTAACATAATATATCCCATCAAGGACCAGGGCCTCCAAACGAAGAATGAATATAGTTTTACTGTAATTTTATAAATTAATAATGTATTAAAAGTATACCATTATTGACTGTTTCGTTGTATTTCATTGAAAAGTTAAGGTTGTCAGAAAAATATTAGTTTTAGGAAAAGTAAGTGTTCAGAGCCCTGCCAAGGAGCGGAGAGGGGTATAGAAGGGGTCTAGCTCTTACCTAACTAGTTCGAACTTCCGCGATGGACGGATCTTTATATTCCACAATCTATGTAAATTAAAACTCTCATATACATTTTCATTGTCCAATTGACCAACATTTCATGTTACAAAAATACTTTTCGCTACAATCTAACTTAAACTAATGCTGGTCTTACACGGTTCTAACTTTATTGAGTTTGCTATTATATTTTTGAATTTAATGTAACGAAGTCGAATGTTGTCTAAAAGGAAGTGAAATTTGTATAGAAATAATTTAAGATATTTCTTTTTCAACCAGAAGTAGAGAAGATAGTATGCCAAACTACTTAGTGCCGTTTGATCTGTTTTTCTCAAAATATATTTTGTCATGTGGTGTAGATGTCAATTTTTCAGCGTAATTATAATAATTATCATACATATATTCTATTATATTTAACCAGGTTTTTAAAAAAAGAAAGCGATTTAAATACATGAATGAGTTTAAAGTGTAGTTTTACATTTAGCAGAAGAAATTTAGCAGAAGTATTGTGCGCATAATCAATTTAGTTGAACCGTGCAGTAACGGCTTGACCAGTTTTACTTCAACAATGAACCCGCGACGCGCCGCCCCTCTTATCACAATCCCTTACAATAACAACGATGTTTCACCACAGATTATGCATATTCGTAAGAACCGGCTTCTAACCTAATATAATAAATTTTAAAATCCCTTTTAATTTTAACAGATAAAATTTTAATTCAGAAAACAGCGAAAATTAGGCAAAAGGTGAACTTTTATGTAATAATTTAATATGAATAATTTCTCTACGAAGTAGTTGTTAAGAGTGTGAAACTGGCTTCCTACACCGTACGCATAGTCTGTGGTCTTTCTGATGGAAAGTTCGAGTTATGATTGAAGAACTTAACAGAACTGACTTCAACATCGAACATCCGATAAAAAATTCCCTTACATTTACACTACGAGATTGCAAAAATTGTGGTAGCAAATGTTACATACAAAATCGTCCGATCTAAACGAACCTCTAAAATTGACATCGAAATTTACATGATTCTTTAAGCTATGATACATAATATTTATGAATTTGACGTCTATATAAAATATAAGATATATGCCGTATGGCGTTACGATGCACGGAATTTTGAGTTTCAACTCAAAATTTACAGTTCAAACTCAAAACTTCCCGCGCTGACTTAAAATTACCAAATATGTACTTATAAATTCTAATTTCGTTTGGTGTTCACATTGCTAAACATTCAGATAATCGTACATAATAAATAATATCGATCCACAATTTAATTCATTCAATATAGGAAAATCTATTACAAATATCAACAATTTGGCACATTTCATTCCTGTTTCAAACACTTACTAGAACTAAAATAACAATCAAAGGAAAGGAAAGGAGCGAAGAAGAAACTATTACAGACACGAAGTACACAGAGTGAGCGTTCGTTGCAAAACATTAAAAATGCATATTAAAAGTCGCAAACTTTTTATTTCCTCGGAAATTTTATGATGCTATTAAAACAACTATTAAAACTTAACTCATTATTGTTATTAGAGTTGTCTTGGATGTTACGTCTCTGCGGCGCGGCGTTAGGAAAAAGCGCGGTTTTGAAGACTACAAGGACACATTTACCAGTTGCTATTATCTACATTGTTATATTAAGTTTGGATGTGTACTTATTTGAATGTAAGGTATAATATTTAAAACTACTTATTCAATTCTGATGATTTTTTGTTCACTAATAGAAAGGTTAGATAACCGTCGAGTACTATGAGCTATTTTTTATTAATCAATGCAGAATCCCATAAACTAGTACTTACTGTCAGAAAACATCGGAACAGTCGGAAAAAAATTGGCAATAGTTTCCTTTTTAGTGCGTGCTGCATAAAAGTTTTAAAATGAAAGCAATAAGTTGCACCTCGGGACCACCAGAGTGAAGCCAGGTTAACTCTCTAGTTATATTTATATTATTTAATTATATTTTGCAACGAACGCGAGTAAGTCCACTAAATACGTTTAACAAATAATGGTTATAGGAGACTACGAAGACTATACATTGAGACACAATAAGTGCACAGTCCTAAGGATGCGGACCGCACGAGTCTAAGAGCGTACACTACATACCTGCTACCTTATAGGATTATTTCATGGGTTATATCCGATATTTGACAAATTGGCTCTACTTTCTGATTGTGATGATGGTGTTTTTTTTTTAAAAAACTACGTCTTTGCTAGTTTTTCTATTATTTCAAAGTTTTAAATGGTTTTTAATAGTAAAAGTAATGTCGTTCAAGACATAACCCTAAAAAATTCTATGTCGTTAGTTATATTTTATTCATCTGATGGATAAGTTTAGACACATATTAACAGTAGAACTTTGATAGTGGAAGTTACTTATAACTAATCGCGTAACAAAATATAGAGTCACTTAGACGATATTATAACATCGATTATAGCACATCGATTATTTTATATTAAACAAAGAAAAGTCCAAGTCCTATCAAAATTGGTGTTACAAAGGCTTTTGAGGCAGCAGCGTGAAGTGCTCTGACCGCGTGACGTGCAGGAGATGGCGAAGCTTGTACCGATCTCTTCGGAAACACAGCTACTGCTCCCCCATTAGAAGACACTGCGACACACCACACCTCATCTGGTTCTGGAACTAGCAGGATAGCTTTCCAACAGTGTTGGGCGAGGTCTGGGGTTAGTATGGCGGGCGTAGATCTTCCTCCTCTAAGCCATAGTACTCTAAGGTTGCGTCCACACGCGCCACACTCTAATCGCCAACCGTTGGGAGTTGGATCAGCACTTACTGCTGTTGCAGTAGCCCCGCCTAAAAAATGCATTTTCATATCAACATAATATATGTAGTTTTAGCGTAAATTGCCAATTTTGTTATTAAGGGGCCATTATATTTTAGTTTTTGCTGTAGAGCATACGATGAATAATGTATGAAATTAAAAGCTTTTTGTGGTTTCATATTTCAATTTAGAGAATCTACTTCGAATAAAATGAACCGTGACTATTTTTAAAACTCAGACGATAAAAAATCTAATGGAGTGTTCGTTGAGAGATTGAAAATATAACCTTTAGTGTGTAGCCTTTTCAATGTTTTACATAAAAGTTTTTTTATTACCATAACAAAAAGAAACAATTGAAAAGTGTTACGACAAAAATTATTTTAAATGCCAACGAAACTGATGAAACTTTTACGTAATTTCCTATAAAAGAACATACATATACAGTGTTTACAAAAACCTTAGCAATAACCATAGAAATTTAAAATAGTAATTATTAAAAGCCGTATTAAACAAGTACTTTAATAAACCATGTGATACCTGTGACACGCAAAGTGACTCGCTTGAGCTCTCTCAGCCGCTTGAGGTCCGGAGCGCGCGCGCCCACGCAGCGGTACTCGCCTCCCTCCTCGTACATAGCTTCTTTTATACCTATCATTATTAATTGTATATAGCACGAGTTCTTACATATGTATGCAGCCCTTTTTGACGTCCCACTTCTGGGCACGGGCCTCTCTTCAATACGAGGGACATCAAGCCATAGTCCACCACGCTGATTGGCACGCGGGTTTGCGGACTCATTACATATATTACTAGCGAATTACCCTTGCTTTGCTCGGGGCGTCAGGTATATTATGTTATACTGGCAGCGACAACTTTGGCTTTGACTATTAACACTGTAGTCAAATTCCAGATCAAGGTCCATTTCGGTGTCAAATTGCCAAATAAAATCTAAATCAAATGCCAAAAAAAAAGAGTAACTAACGCACACACACACAAACACACACACACACACACACACACACACACACACACACACACACACACACACACACACACACACACACACACTAACAATAACTAGTTTTACATAGCCATAATACGCGGCGCAGCTCGCGTGTTATGTTGGGACATTAACAGTCAACACCATCTAGTTCCATGGTAAGCTACGTAAGGCTGTGCTGTGTGGATACCAGATAGTTGATACACTACACATATATAACTTTAAACATACATACATACATACATATTATAAACACCCATGACTAGAGTAAAAAAAACATTCGTGCTCATCACACAAATGAATGCCCCCAGCGGAACTCGAACCCGCGACCGCTGGTACAGCAAGTAGGGTCACTACGAACTGAGCCAAACGTGTCGTAAATATTAATGAATAATATTATTTCAGTTACATAGCTTTGTCTTTTATCATTATATGTGAAGACATAACTAGTGTTTGTATTGAATGTATTTGATCTTTCTGAAAATTAGGATGGAGGAGTCTGATTTTCCTAATGAATAGATAAATGTCTTGTAACGAAAATAATTGGCTATAAATACACTACAAAATAAATTACAAAGGAAAATTTTTATTGGTTAATGATGGATGAAAAATAATAAACTCGCGCTATATTTATAGTAATAAAATAAATGTTATAATAAAAATACGATAGAGTACATTATATTTTATCAACAATTTGTTACATTTTCGTACGCGCTTTCTATTTTTAAACGATTTTATTTATAACTTAACTTCTAAAGTAACGTAATATGTAAATAAAACAGTTTTTTTGTTTACAATAAAGAAAATTACAAATATACTTAATTATATATACAAAACAAATGTACACTTAGTTATTACTGTACAAGTCATGTCCGCGTGGAATAGTGGCAAGAATGCTAGCCGCATTCCCCCGCTGAATGGCAATGCCGATTCTTTGGGCGAAAAATGCGCCAGCCCTCCTGTCACCAGTAGAGGTGATAAGACGAGGTGTTATTGTCTTACTTACTTCTAACTAGGTGTGTTATGTTGAAAATCAATGTAAAGCTATTACTAATTATATCTTTGAAAAATTTGTACTTCCAATCAGTCCAACCATTTCCATACATATATAAACTATCGCATTTATAACATTTAGTATATATATAGGTACTCTATAATAACATAATAACATACCATTCGAAATACTGTTGATTTTTATGTAAAGACTCAAATGAGATTCATACCCAACACGCCATGTGCGTGGTGCGAGCCGGCCGGCGCCCACGCGTCGCTGGCATTACCCACCACGCGTCTCCACCAACAACCGACGCTACCTACAAAATATACCGACGATAAAGTATTTATCAAATCATCAATCTAAAGCTTATTTATTGAAATAAAACCTAACATTCTAATCAAGAGTAGATAAAAATGTTTTAAAAGAACCCTACCTCTACCCTCGTAGGTCGTAGTGTGGACGTAAGGTTGTCTTTTTCATTAAATAGGCTAATATAACTCAAAAAGAATTTTTCTAATCGTATCAGTACCATACAAAGATAAGCGCGTTCAAACAAACAAACTCTTCAGCTTTTTTTATAATATAGTCAGACTAAAAAATTATATAGAAGAAAAAGAAGAAGTGTGCCAAAATAAATGTCAAAGTCAAAAATAGTAGCGTGGTTTGCTGTTCATACTACATACTATTCTCGATATTGCGATTCAGATCGTATACTTCCTTTAGAGAATAAGGAAAATGTTATGTTTGTTTAGTTAAATTAATATACAATTTTTAAGAATAAACAATGAATGATGAAAATAATACTATATTCTTTTGTATTGTTAGGCATTAGTGCGCTTCTCCTTGAAATAAAGATAGCATAATATTAGCTTTTTTTTCTTTATTATAAATTATATTATTATTATACCGTTGGCTATTTTTATTTATTTATTATATTACACAAATTTTTATTTGTACACTATTTTGGCTTCATTTTTAATTCTATGTCGCTCTGTTTGTATGTATATTATTCTTTAGCCTGGGATAATATATTAGTATACTCGTAGCAATATTTAAAAAAAGAACTTAAATTGCACATATTAAAAAAATAATCTCAATTTACCTTTAGGGCAATGTAGTTGTACATTTCCCCCGAGAGGCACTTCCACTTTCTGATGGTCGGGTTGCTCGTCCTTGGCATCAGATTCTGACGCTGACAACGTGTTGTCGTCACCGGCTGCACAGTTTTTATTAGTATTTACATTTAATTGTATCTAATGATAAGTTAAATCGGACTCGGCTATTCGTAATAGTAGTGAGTAAGGTTTTTAGTGATAAAAAGTGGAAAAGTTTTCCCAAAAAATTAAATAAATTCGTGAAAAAAAGATCAAAGATCATTAATAAATTTATTGAACTTGAGACATTGCAACATTGGTACATTACCTAGTATGTAAAATAAATATTATTTCAAATAAGATCTTTTAAAACCAAAAAACGCTATAAAAAACCTTGAAAGCTCTGTGACTGTTTTCAAGCATTCCCCAATATACATAGATATTTTCACAATATACTACAAAGATCGCATAATATTAGACATTTTGATCTTAAAACAAAAACTTACCCAAAACATTGAGATAATACCCAATAGAGGAGTACTCAGTGTCCATCCAGCGCGCCCTGCAGCGGTACCATCCAGCATGGCTCTCCCGCAGCCGCGCCCAGCGCAGTGTGGCCGAGCCCAGCGACGCGCCGTCCTCTGCGCCCACCTCAAGCGGCGTCGGGGAACTGTGCAAGATTGCGAGATTATTATATTGCCACATGGTTTAAAACTAAAGTGAAATGAAGTGAAGTGAGTAAAGTATTCTTTATTTATCATTTATTTATTATATCATTTCTTTAAAGATAAAGTACAAACTAACTATAAAGATATGGCACAATATGCGGCCTAATAGCTAAGTGAGTAATATCTTTCAGGTAACCTTAGAGGATGGATGTGAGGTAAAAAGAAATGGGAAAGTGCACTCGCTTTCTCTCTCTCTATTTCTTTAACTCTTCAAAGTTCTATAGAACGATACGCCGAAGCACGTGCTCTCCGAAACACGAGATTGTAATATACAACTTCCCAAGTCGGGCTGTTTCTGAGAATTTTTAACATAAAAACTTGCATACTAATCTTTGCCTGACCCGGGAAATAATCCCGGGATCTCGGGACATGATCCCGGGATCTCCGGATATGCAGCCGTAAATGCTAGCCACTAGACCAACGAACCAAGAAAGCAGTTACCAAGCAAAACTACCATCATATCTAAATCTCTAATCTATTTTTCGATTTGATGCCATCTCACTGACCTAAAATTCATCATATCCATGATGCTCCAATTTAAATTTTTATTTTTTACATATTTTTCGCGAATTTATTTTGATTTTTGATATGAGATTTGATTTTAAAGTGGTTTATAAGTAAAACTGCAATAAATCTGCAAAAATAGTTTTATTTTAAATATCAAATATTCGCTACAACTTAAGAAAGTATTATGTTGCTTTCATAATAAGTACCAAGGTATTATATTGGTTTTTTAATTACACAACTAGCTTATAAAATAAATGGTATTTACAAAAAAATACGTGCATGTTTGTGTACATAATTGACACTTCTTTACGCAGAAATGGCCTGACTGAGTCAATGCTAAGTCGCTATATTATAAAGACAAAAAATCACTAATTGCCGACGTGTCACAAAAGCCTAGGCGGATTACGATCTGGCAAATGTAACACATCACCTGCTACTGACTGTGAAATCTATTTGCTTTGGATATTTTTATTTTTATAGTTGTTAAATCCTCTGCATAGCAGCAGATGGAATGTTTTGTATTGAAATATATTCCGTATCAAATATTCGAGCCCAACAGTACAACTGACGCCCCGACGAATGTGCCTTGTTTAACAATTAGGACAGGCGTCTGCTGTCTCTATACGAGTACATATAACTATATACAGTAAAGGGTCTACGGATTTCCATTTGGAATAAAATTTAATTTAAAAGCCCCTTTGTGGTTTTCAGTATGATCATATGATCGTTATAAGTGTCTAAGTACATTGTAGCTTAAAATATATTTACTTGGTAAAAATGATGACTTACAAAACACTTATCTAGAATGTTTCCAAATCGATCATTATTCATAAATAGCCACTACCGTTCGCTTCGCTCGGACGCGTCCCTAGATGCCTAGCATCTATTCTGAATTCCATCCAAATCCTTCCAGCTACGTTTGCGCGATGAAACACAATATAAACTACGGCATTTGTACAATCAGGAAACCAATTTACCAATGAATTAACTTCATCTCATTCAAGTCACATCTCCTTATATCTCTGTATTTAACCTAATAAATATAATTTTATATAGCTCAGGAACATTTATCCGCCCACTGATGTACCCTTGTCGTGGTGGGACGTGAAGCTAAGAGACACACAGTGAGGTGTTTCACCATTTGGTAGCTGTTGTACCATGCTGGTTGCTCGTTGTACTTCTTTGATAGCAGAGTAGACCGTGGAAGCAGCTTCATGATTGTTATAGTCTGCCTCGGCAAGCCAGCCTTCGGGGTGCCGTAATTTAGTGCATAAGCGATTCTGCGTCGCCCCATTAAGTAGGGGAAAGTTTCGTTGGGCCTTAGTGGATAGTACTGGCTTTTCTTGCCAGTGAGTCCTATATAACACCCTGTATGTATGCGATGGTATGCATTTACCAACGTTAAAAAGGCACATTCATTCGATTGCAAATAATTCAGGATTTATAGTCTGAACACGGCAGGGTGTAGGCTTGTGCAGTGTATAGTATAACTAATTTGTGAATTAGTATACACAAAGTATCTGTGTCACTTCAGGCAATGCCAGGGCGTATTGCTAGTACGTTTATATAAGAGCCAATCCCAGTTGGACGTTCACTATAATATAAAAGTCTAGATCTTAAGATCTTAATTATACCATGAAGTAAATAATAAAATAAAAGTCTCTCCTACAAAGTTGTAGTTGGGGAGGAAATATTGTAGCTATTAAATTGTCTGCAAAGACTGATAACTCGGTGTAACTAACTTACATCCCTCAGAGACGCTTGCTCGCGAACCCATGAAGAAATGACCGGAATTAAAACTATGAGGAGAAATGTGCAGTTAAATAAATTAATCTTTGACACGTCAGTGAATAGGAGAAACAGATAACATTAAATCACTTTTAATTTGCTCTATTTAAGTAGACTATGATGAAGCAAAAACTACGAATGATGCGGCTTTTAGCTGCGCTCTTTTTAAAACTCTTTTATTAGCTCCACTTGTTAATTATGTAATCTAATATTAGAAGTTGACTAAAAAGAAGTTTATTCATCTTGTAATTGTCGTATTGATTTGAAACTTTATAAGTATAATATGAAATGCTAATGACAATAGAATAATTTAATTCTAAGGAACTGATCTGATGATGGAACCTAATAGTGGGTAAACCTCTTTAATGATTAATAATAAAACTGATTTTGAGCTTGTGTTTCGATAAGTCTTATACATTACCATCAGTTAAAAGTGTATTGTGTTTATAATACTTTATTAGATTTAAGCGAATATTCCCATCTCTTCCGCATCCATATTTGCTGTAAAACATTCGAAACGTCAAGAATGAAAATTCTAAATAAATCCGCGAAAAAAACAGGTAAGATAGTTTCATTTCAAATGTGTCATTTTTTTAGTTTTTTTTTTAAATAATAATTATTTATGATAAAGTTCTTGGACTCAAATATTATTCCGTTTACGTTGATAAGCCAAAACGGGCCATATGTTACTTTACATCATATGTTACACCAACGTATCCCTACATTTCCTCTAAAGAGAAGTATTTATTTATTAAACCTATTTAAAATGTAAGAATATATCTTTCTGAACGATCCCTAGACGCTCGCACAGCTTAAAGATAATCTAGGCTTTACATTTATATTATCGGTGTACTATAGGTAAGGCTCTACATGATGAAGTATCTTATAATTCCGATTCATGAGCTATAAATAACTGCAGAATTTAAAAAAACTAACATTTAGTTCGTCTATTGTTCAGTTGAACAGTCCCTTCAATTATTTTTAATTTTGCAAAAAAATGCTTGCTATCTTTTGAGTCTATATAAAGAACCTTTAGAAAATGCACAGAATCCGAAATCGATTTAATCAGTTTTACAGACTGTTCTAAATTTTTCCTATCGTATCCTAAAAATTTATTCGAGCTATTACGGATATATTCTATACATACAATAAAATTCTAACTGGGTTGTATTTGCACAATAGATATTTTTTAGAAAATCTTATTGAAAGAGTAATTATTATCGATACAGAAGCCGAATCTATAGTTTTATTTTTATTTTTGTATGTCTATCTGGGAATGCATCACGATAAAACCACTGGACAGAATTTGATCAAATTTAGTTTGATGATAGTTGGTTATCCGGATCAACGTATAGTATATTTTTACTGCGGGAAAATATCTCATCTCTGAGAAATCTATACTAACCGTTAAAACGTACCTAATGACAAACCCGAGCGGAGCGAGAGTTAGTCGCTAGTTTTAAGACTAAAGTTAGCCATATCGCTCCAGTTGTTCTTAACTAATGCGTAAAAGATTATTTCAATACAGAATTGCAAAGTTATTTCTTGCAAATATCGATTGCATATACCTATAACCTATCAATATCTATTCATACATATTTATATTATAGCCTTATTTATAAGAATAGTTACTGTCTAGACTCTAGGCGTACTGAGAGTAGGTAAGAGCGAAAGGTAGAGCGAAAATATTTGGATATCTAACAAATTGATTATTTCAGGCTATTTGCTTAGAAGTCTGAGTAAGTCTATAGAAATAGACTTGATTATACTTAATTGAATAAAAAACAGTCAAGCGCGAGTCTGACCCGTGGGAATGATATCGTGCTTCAGATTTATTTGTTATGTAATTTATTTTATCAACAATATTGGATTTATATTTAGTATAAAAAATAGCTAACCTATATCGATAGATTGTATGTATAAGGGTCAAAGTAACAGTTTGGCCGTTTTCACTTTGCTGTATTAAATGCTTCAAAAATGCTTAAAAATATATCAATTCAAAAGTTTGACAGGCTCTCCTGAAAAGTTAAGATTTTGTGCTTCAGCCCTTATACATAGGATTTTATATAAATATAGAACTATTTAATACCAATCACATCTAATTTAACGTTTCTTATAGGAAAGTAATGGGGTATTTTTTTACTTTATATATTATGAAAAATCATTTTTTTTTGTTATAATTCAAAAGAAAATAAAAAGATAAGCCCATTAAATACATGCAAATGTAGTAAATATGAACGGACAGTTTATACATGTTGATTAATATATTCATATAAATAAAATTATTGTGACTATTTTTTAATAATAATATGATGATTTCTTAAGAAAAAAACATGATTAAAATTAAGCACAGATGCCTTAGGTTCAACAGTAAACAACACTATCATTTGTCCAAGGTTCTGCCCGCGTAGTTAAAACTTAAAACCCCTCTTTTACCCCTTTAGCCTTTAGGGGTTGAATTAAAAAAAACCTTGAAGAATCTACTTGCCTTTAATCTAAAATTTCTTGATTAACAGTGAGTGAGTTGTATTTAGTTAGATGTGAAAGTAGTTGTTGCCGCGCCGTGAACTAGATAAAAAAAGGTTTACTTAATACGGATGTCTTAATAGAATATTACTAAAAGGATTCTTGTAAATAAGACGTACAATATCAGAAAGGTTGTACGTAAATAAGAGGTTCAAGTTTGAAAAATGGATGCTTTCCAAGATAAATTGGCCACAATGCTGAATTTCTATTATTTAGAGACTTTATATGGTTTCTTTAAATTTTTCCATATAATATTTTCTTACCAAATAGCATAATCATTGAAATTGTTAGAAGGATTGAAACAAAATATAATATTTAGTTCAATTTTTATATTTCGAGCTTCAATGAAAAATCTTATATGGATTTCAAAAGAAATAATAACAACGCGTCAACTTTTAATTAGCTTTTCAACTTTATATTTGAACTAATATAAATTGATATGAAGTGGCTTCTACAGAGGATGTGGCGCAGTGGATAAGCCTTTACCTAAGTCAAATGTGTAAAGTCAATATTTAAAAAAATAGTAATTAAAAATATTTAAACATACATACATAATACAAATAATATATAAACTTTCTCAATAATAATAGTGAAACTAACTCGTTTGGCTCAGCGTTTAGTGATCCAACTTGCTGTGCCAGCAGTCGCGGGTTCGAGTCCCTGGGGTCCCTGTCCGAGCTGGGGGCATTCATTTGTGTAATGACCACGAATGTTTGTACTCCAGTCATGGGTGTTTATATTTATAATATGTATGTATTTAAAGTTATATATGTGTATTGTATCAACTATCCGGTATCCATAACACAGGCCTCGTAGCTTACCATGGACCTAGATGTTGTTGTGTGTTAATGTCCCAATATATTTATTTATTTATTTAACCACCGGCACATCCTATAGTTAGTTTTAGCAAATTTTTACCGAACGAAATCCATTTTATAAGCGGGATTGATATAAATAATCGTGCACACTTTTCGAAACAAACAGTATGTGCAAAAGGGTATGGCTCCGTAGCTCCGTCGCTGCATGAAACGGGGTCAAACCAATAAACCGTAAAACACAATTTCGCATTTTTGAAGAATTTTCTTTAAATAATATTATTTATTTCCTACTATCTATGATAATATTATGTTTTGTAATAAAAATAATAAATAAAAATATAATATAAGCTTAAATTTTGTATTAAAAAAACTCAAAAACCAATTTTTGAATAAGGTAATATTCAAACACCTTCAGAAGCGAAACTACTATACGTAATACTTACTTAGACTTACGAATATTTGACATTTTAAATTAAACTATCTTTTCGAATTTTTTCGCGGATTTATTTTGAGACAGACTCTCCCGTGGACATGATTTATATAAAACTACACATAAGTGAACTAAGCGAAACCGCATGAAAAAACTGGTCAAATATTATGTCTGTGGATATAATATCTTTTAAGTTTGATACCCAGGGAAGGATATAGGATAATTTTTACCCCGGAAATTATCCCTTAAGCGGGGAAGGAACTTTGTATGGGGAATCAATCATTTCTCAAGTAGGGGATATGAAACTAAACTATAAAGTCTATGTATTCCATAATAATAGTTATTCATAAGGTATCTAGTGACGAACCCGAGCAAAGCGAGGGTGAGTCGCTATTTTCTTATACCTAATTGATAACAAGTTTATACTATCTCTATCAGTACTCAAATGGTTAATGGTTATACTTTCACTGCCTATCGAAGCTAGATATTCATTTAGGTTATTCTACCTAAACCTATAAAGATGCAATTGAGATATCAAGTTATTTTATTCCAAGACAATTTAGATTAGCGCTAAAACAATATCGCGAGTCGCAACAAAGCTCCTTAGAAGGAAGGATTATTTAAATTACGAGTAAAATTAAGCACATTTTTTGTATTATTTAAAAGTGGTTTTGCAAAATTTTTAATTAGAATTCAAAATAATTGCAAAACTTTCCGACAGCAACTAATATTCGGTTTCGTTTTAGAATTAGTAACTTCAAAGAGTTTTTGTATCAACTTTTAATGGCCTAAATTGTTTAAGTTAAAAAAAAATGAATTTTGTTTCGTCCAGTTTATTATTATTTGTTGATAAATGCTAACTGTATAAGTATTACTTTTTAATTACTTTTTATTGAACTACTCGTGAGGATACCCATGAGGATATAAACTATTCATAAATATGACAATCGCAAAAACTGCATCATGATTAGTATAGAACAAATCTATCCCACGGGAACCGTACGGTACATTTCTTCAGTATAAAAAGTAATCTATGTGTTATTCCAGACTATAATCTATCTCTGTGCCAAAATTCATCCATATCCGTTTAGCCGTTCTGGCGTGAAAGGGTAACAAACATCCATCCATCCACACAAACTTTCTCACTTATAATATTAGCTGGATAGGATATCGAGTTACATTCACACATCAAAAGATAATGTACCAGAAAGATTAACTCCTATTTTATAAAGTTTTATAGAGCACGATGTTGCTTTAAATTTTTACTTAAAACCTAACGATTTGCAAAGTTGTGCGTTGTTTTAACCTGTTTTTATATACTAAATTCTTGTATAGATACATATATTAGAAGACATAAAAGCCTAAAATTTACATATTATACCTCCATACCCTCTGCAGTAGAGACCCTTGGCTGAAATGCTAAAAACGTTTATAAAACACATAACACCTAGTTTTATCGTCTCTACTGATGTCTGGCTCGTTTTTCGCCCAGAAATCGGCATTGCCTTGCGGCGGAGGAATGCAGCTAGCATTCTTGCCACAATTTCGAACGGACATGCCTTCTAAAGTCATTATTAAGTGTACAATCATTTGTGTTATATGTACATAACTAGTGCTATAATTTGTAGGAGTTTAAATGAAAGTTTAAAAAGTTCCAGAAGCCTCAACGCTTTAAGCTATCCTAATGATTTTTTGATTTTTGACAAGTATTAACTAAGTATATCTAATGGTATAGGATAACGAAGATTATTAATAATTTTGTGAAATAAAATGGTCTATCCATAAATAAAAAATAATTAAGAGTGGAACTGTGTCTACGTAAACTTTTTATTACTAACTGTAAACTAATAACGTAAACTAAAAATACTTCTCAGATCAAATAATTTTCCAATACATGTAAAGAAAATCACAAAAATTAATTGTAATTTTACAAATCTTATGTATAAACCATACACACACGTGTTGTAATTTTACATAACAATTTTCCGGTTGCCCTTCGAGAAAGTTCTTTATTTACGAGCATTGTTTGTGATTCCATATAATAGAATTATTACTAATATCACAAACTAATATTGTAATTCATATTACAATGAATTTATTTGAAGTTTACCAAACTTTATATTCTTTTTACAACTTGATATTTTGTAAAATTACAACAGCTGATTTATTAAATTTTCAAACTGTTCTAAAAATATAATGTTAATAACATGTTTTGTAAAATTAGCATACCAAACTGTTCTAAAAATATACCTCCACATGTTTTGTAAAATTACCATAAATTTTTTTCCAGTGTATGTATGTCTAACCTGGAAGGTCGATCAGTGTCTCTCATCCACGTGGCTCTGGCCGGCGGGTTGGCGTCCACGTCGCAGCGCAAGGCGGCCGCGCCACCAGCCGTCAGTGAGATGCCGAAACCGGGCCATCGAGATATCACGAAAGATGGAGGATCTGTTTGAAATATATGCCTTTTAGTTTAAGACTTAGAAATCTCTGTAGGTCATATTTTTACTTTTATTATTTAGTGTTTTCAAAGTTTAAGGTGTCATCTGTAAGTTTTTCTAATTTATTATATATTTAAAATTTTAAGATACTTGTGACGTCTAATATCATAATCAATTCCTTGACCATATTTACTGTAAAGCATTCAAAATGTTGTAAATCAAAAAATCTAAATAAGACACGAAAAATCTCATAAAAAGAGAGTAGATAGTATATTACAATATCTAATATTCTCTGATCGTGCCGCAGACAAGTCATAATGGTTAATGTAAACATTTGCTTAGCTCAGGAATCGAACCCGTAACCTGTATCTAAATACAGTATAATTTACATAATTAGTCAGCTGTAACACCGTCACAATATTACGGCTGTCAATACATTAGACAACCAATTATCGATGGACTGTTTTAGACCTTCGATTGTGGTTTATCGCACCACAGTTAATTAGCTTTTATCGATATTACCTGATTACGATAATTGAATCAATATAGAAATTATTGCCCATTAAGAAGATTGTATATTAATTAAATTGTAGCCCAATTTACTGTAAGAATTAGTTGTAAATTATGGAATTACCTAAAACCCATAAAAACTACATTAGCACGCGGTAAAACCGCAAATGTACTCGATAACGCACTGATGTTACAACGGCTCTAATATGTCGTTTTTTTTAAAATAAAAAATAATTAAAAGTTATTCTGTTTCATTATTTCAGTTGAAACAAAAGTAATGATATGTTCATGTTAATTTACTATTTTTACAATTTTTCTATTCCTAGGTCAGACAGTCTGATGCGACATTTGTAGTACAGTTTAAAAGTACCTACAGTATGAACGACTTTTATAAGCACATTTTCTTTGCTTAGTTTTGATATTACATATGTGTATCGCATGATACCTTTTCACTTATAATATATTACATTATAACATATATTTTAGTTACACATAAGCACAACGCCATCATTTCCAAAGACGCAAATATACCGAGCCTTATTAAAATATATGAAGTGACATTCACTTCATTGTAACCCAAAAAAAATGCTTTAAATAGGCTTTCTCTCTCACTCAGCAAGCTCGACCCCAACTCAGCTTACATATAGCGGAAATCGAACCCGTCATCTGTTTCAGCGTGTACTTACAAGTAACGTGTATCTCAAGTTTAGCAGTCAACACGTCGTACGGGGCCGCGGGGGGTATCTCCGGCCGCCGCTGCCTCGCCTCGCACTGCAACGTCGCGTTGTGAAGCTCTCGAGCCGCCGTCACTACCACGCGGGACCACGACACACCCTCTATTTGGATAAAATTTTGTACTCAGACTATCACCAGTAAGAGTAACATAGGCTATATGAAAATCAACAAAAAAACAATACATACTTTAAATTAAAGCAACGTTTGTGTGCTATCGTGTGAAATAATATTGTCTTAAGAACTGTATCTATAAAAATTTTTAGATAATTCCATTCGAATATGTTAAGCACACAGTATAACTACATACAGACAAAACGTGCAGTGAGCGAATAAAACTTAATTTAAAACTTAAAATTTTCAACTTAATGTATCACTGCTATTTGGATGTAAAATATCTCGTGTAAGAAGTTATTGGCAAAAGTACGATCGATCGGCCATATTCAAATTTATGTGTTTAATTTTGATAGTTATTTTGAATCACCGACTTGATTTGAAGAGAGTCTACTCAGTTGTTAGATGGAGATAGAGAGGTAGATATTTTTAATAAAATCAGGTAAAAAAAAATTTGGGAAATTAGAGAAATATAATGCATTTATAAACAGGCCCGTACACGGCACCAGCTTAACAATTCGTACTCATTTCATACAACACGCTAGACGCAGCGGCATCCACTGTCTCTGGCAGTCTGCTAATTAAATTCTTGACGATATAATGTCCTTATGTACATTCCAGTGAAATTTTAATTTATAAGATTATTTTACTTTTGTTTAAACAAGATTGGATGTACTTAATATTTTTATAGAATACAAGAAATGAAACGTGGTTCCGCGTATCTTAGGAGCTTAGGGCGTTGTTTAAATAAACAAAATTAATGGGTAAAATACTATAATTAGAAGTATCAATTGATATCAGTAAAATTAATAAAAAAATATTTAAAACATTGATTGATAAGTCACATATTTTGTTAACTAAATTAGTTTTTAATCGTGCTCCAAATAATTTAGCCTTTAAAGATTATAAATAACATAGCGGTTCGATCCTCGGGGGTTCTGTACCACTAAAACTTTCCAGCTATATAGTAACAATTCGAGCAGACATATGGTCATGAGGAAATTATAAGGTTTTTCCATACAAAATTATAAGGGTACGTTCTTTGGGACATGGAACCCCAAAAACAGGTACAGAGTGACATTTTTCCATCGCCAATATATAGGTCGTTACAATCAAACATTTATGCTATTAATAATATCTTCATTTTAGCTATAATCTTACCAATAGAGTAGTTGGTGTGATGTATACGAAGATACGGCCGGTGGTCCAGCGCAGGCTCCAAAGCTAGCAAGCGCCATGACAGTTCCGGTGGAGGAACACCACCTGAGGGAGCGAAAGATATTATGTAAAATAAGGTCTTTATTTTATAAAATATAAACATAATACATATTATTTTCATATTCAGGCAACGATTTGGTAGACAGGTAAAGCAACTCTTTAGCGCATGTTACTCTGACTTAATTCGCATTTATTATGATTTAAAAGTGAAAACTTTATTTAAACAAAATAAAATATAACCTATATCCGTCAGGGATAGCGAATTCTGAATTTTGATTCGGCTGAACGGATTTAGATGAAATTTAATACACAGATAAACTACATACAGATACAGAGACAAGTAGAGACACAAGCAACAGTCTAAGTAAAGGACAAGGCCGTGGGCACGCATAACTAGAACAAAATTGTAAGAAGTTGTCGTGATACTTTCTTAGATTTACGCGAATACTTGACATTTTAAATAAAACTATCTTTAATATAACATCCCATAATAAATTATGGGATTCTGTTATTAATATAATAAAATCTAATAATTAATCTAAACATAACAGACAGGTATGATGTTGTAAGTTCTTACTGTGTAGATCAAAATGATAGCATTTCTGATTAATATTTTTCACTTTTTCATTTGTAAATGTATGTAGTAATGTGTTGCTTAATAATTTGTTTTTTAAATCATAGCAAATTAAAATTAAAATTATTATTTTTAATTAATCTTAACTTTTTCAAATTACACATAGATTAATTATGTGGCTTAAATAATTAATATATTATGATTTTTTCTTTATAGTTATAAATATAATTATGGCAACACTAAAAATGTAGATTAATAATTAATATTTTTAAAATTGTAATAATTATAATAATAAAAGCTCAAATTAAATAAATAATATTCTATATTCAATAATAAAGCTAATTAAAATTATATAAAAAATTTTAAAGTTAAAATATTGTAAGGTACTTTAGTGCCATTTTTCAATTATTTTGAATTCATTTTGTTAAATGTGGGTAGACTGTCTGTAACAACTATATCTTTAAGACATGTAACACCTCAGTCTCTCCCGTGACCATGGATGCTGAAAAGCATTCGAAACGTCGGGAATTTGCCAATATATGCCGATACTTCTTAGAATACATTTTTGTATCTGCTATCCTTTATCAGTTTTAATTTGTTCAATAATAATATAAAAATTTGAATACGTTTGTTTTGGAATATATTTTATAGCATATGTCTGTACCTACAATGTACATTTTTTTTATTTTCGATTGTCAACCTCGGTCCCATTGGGTTACGAGATTGATGTTTTATTATGGAATTAATTATTATTAAAACAATTCAAAATTTTTGCGTAAATTTTAAAATAAAACTGAATAAGAGTATGTGTATATGTATGTATGTTTGTTATTCCTTTACAATGATACGGCTTGACAGATTTGGATGTAATTTAGTATACAGATAGAATATGACCTGAAGTAACACACAGGCGGACCGTAAAGCACTAACGGACGCACCCGAGCGAAGCGAGGATAAGTTGTTAGTGGTATATATTATCACTTTACGAAGGCTTCAATGATATTAAAATTGAACATTTTGTTTGATGTTATTACGATATTCAACATCTGGTCCAGTTCTCAGCCGCCATCTGCATCTCCAGCTAATATACGTTAAATTCACTTTATAGATTAAAATTTAAGCTTTTTTAGAAAGATATTGAAAACTTTTATGCAATTATTTGAAAATGTATTTGTTGAAAAAAATACAAGGAAATTATTGTTATTTAGTCGCATTGGTGAAGTTTCACTAACTGCTGATATTTATACTCGTAGGCCACACGATAACTTGTAGTGTTGGAATTTTATTCATTTACCTTAAGTTTAAAAATTAGACGAACACTTGATATTTTAAATAATAAAATTAATAAAATATAAATAACAATTTAAATTTCAGTAATAATTTTATTATTTATATTTTAAATAATAAAAATATAAGTAATAAAATTCTTTATATTTTATTTTTTCAGTCTTAATAACTACTGGAAAAATTATAAATGTATTATATCTTACTAATATTATAAATGCGAAAGCTTGTGAATGTTGTGATGTATGGATGTATGGATGTTTGTTACTCTTTCACGCAAAAACTACTGAATGGATTTTAATAAAACTTTATAATATACTACTTTATAGGTCACACATCGGAATACACATTGGCTACTTTTTATCCCAGAAAAATGTACGGTTTCCGTGGGATAGATTTGTTATTGTTTTTCTGTAAATTATAGATAAAAGATTTACCAAAAAAAGCTGAAAAAGTAGTTTCGGTTAAATTATTATATTTATTAAAATATATAATATTTGAATTTGTATAAGATAGAAAAAGTAAGTTTCATTGACATCGATGGTAGGTAGCATTTGCAAAACAGTGCAGCGTGAACGAGCAACTTGCATCAAACTCTTTCTAACACGAGTTCTAAAAGCCTTTTTATTGTTGTTTGAGCGCGAGCCGCCGAGACGCGCAGACCATTCAACTGGATGTGGATTTCAACGAAATCGGTCAAGTTTTAAAGATTTTCACAACAATAGAGCAAAGTAGTTTCAAATGTCAGAATTTATACGGTATTTTGACCTGAGAAAGAATGTATCGAGTGTTTAAGCCCAAAAGCTGTATCAGCTAGGACTAAAATGATCGTCCGATACAATAACTGGTACTATATACTGATCAAAGCTCACAGTTTCAACACCCATACAGCTGTACTTATATAACATGCTTACTATGTACAATTTGAGATAGAGGTTCGTTCGGTGATGGAGTTTCAAGACATTTTAAGACAATATATTGTGCTAAGTACACGGCGTTTACTAAAAATACATTTTATTTTCTTTAAACCTTAACATAGTGAAAAATATTGCTAAAGAAATAATGTGTATAGTAACAAAAACACACTTTTGACCAAACAATATAGGGATTTGTTAGAACAAACCAAGTGAGCCCAAACTGTCAGTTTCATCATCAGATCAGCTCCAAGATACCAAATTATTGTATTATCATTCGAACTACATATAGGTGATAGCTCCCACGGACTGAATACGCTGACGCTCTTTAATCAATTGCTTATAATAATAATTCTAATAGAATAAAGTTCCATTTCATTTCATATACTCGTACATAAAAAAACATATTTTGATGCTACAATTAGAAGTAGATTAGAAAAAACTAATAAAAGCGTGTTAAATAGGACCTAAGTGGAAATCGAATTCGCAACTTCAAACTAAAATACCTAGTTATCTCAGCGTCAGATAGCATTCAAAGTATAAATTTACATACACGCACATGTATGTATTCTACATGATTTTATTACAAATCCAGTTTCCAATAAAGCATATAGCGATTGAACGTTTCACTGAAACCAACGAAATAATTTGATCTCCGATACAATTACGCTTCATATCCCGTGCTCCGGCTGAGCGTCCTGCTTTGTAAATTACAAGGCTTCATAACAGTTTAAATTCATTTATTGTAAGCTGTCGATGATTGATGGTAGTCGTATATTGGATGGGCAATTATTTATCTCGATATTAGTCATTTGCCCTGGCTTTGTATGGTATGTATTCAGCACTTATTAACGTCCCACTGCTGGGCACGGGCCTCCTTTTAATACGAGGGGCATCAATCAGGCCACAGTCCCCACGCTGGTCAAGTGCGGGTTGGCGGACTTCACATATCTTTTGAAAACTTGCTAGGTTCTCTCAGACTTTAAAACAAACATATTTTCTTGCGAAAATTTGTCGAAACATTCATTATTAGTTGCAGAAATCGATCATACAATATTCAACCTAGAATATCAATCAATAAGGTATTGTGTGTGACTTACCTTCAGCTACACATCTAACTTCCAACACGGTTTTGTCTCGAACCGGCACCCACGTGTTCCCAGCATCGAGACGGCGCCCGTCCACCGCCAAGTATACTGAGCGTACCGGCTCTGTTGACAAACAAGTTATATCTGTACTAATAATATAAAAATGAAGAGTGCGTTTATTTGTTTGTTTGAACTTATGTTTGAAACTACCAGAGCTATTTGAGAAGTTACATTTTATATTTAATAGCATACTTATTTAAGAAGGTCATACAGGTTATCTAACAACTCTACCATATTATAACACTAGCGACTCACGCTCGCTTCACTCGGGTTCGTTCCTCGGTACGTTTTACATTAAAATGGATATAGTATATTATCCTTACGAGATAGACAAATGCCATCATGGACTTTTTTATAGACCTATATAAGATACATAATTCCACCATACATTATTTTGTTATACATCAAAGGGTTTAGGCAGCGTTTTCGTTAAAAAATCCCAGACAGCCTTTTTTTCGACACATCCAACAAATATCGTTACATTTTAGCCAATGTATACAAAAACTTAACAAATTATATACTAAAACCTTTCTCGGAAACCTCTCTATCCATTGGTGAAAACAGCATGAAAATTGATGCTGTAGTTTTTGAGTTTATCACGAACAGACAGACGCGGCGGAGGACTTTGTTATATAATATGTAGTGATAACTAAGCAAGCGGAACCGTGGGTAAAAGTTAGTCATTTATAATATAACTTTTGTAAATGTTTATATGAAAAAAAAAAATTTTTGCACTGCGCGAGAATCTAATCCACGAATACTAGAGGATTTATTTTGTGTTTTCATACCATAACGCATTTTTTTTTATAATATGTATGTAGGTATGTTCAATATTTATAACAATGTATAGATTCATTTAAAATAAGTAAGAAGTTATAAAAATAGATATGTTATTATCTTTATAACATGGAGTCTGAGCGTCGGAACTACTCAACGTACAAGTGCCATAATACACGTGTTTTAGCGTTTCATTACAGTTCGTAACTTTGATAGAGGCAATTAAAATGCTTATAGGCGTAATTTCCTGCTGACGTTGATTAGTTAATAGTTCTAGACTTAACTACTAAGGGGTTAAGTGATGGGCTCTTCAAACTTAATTATGTACCACAAGAAATATCTAAACCCTGCAGAAATAACCTACATTTCAGGAAATGAAAATGATACCCTCAAAGGCAAGTACACGTCTTTTTCATATGTACACTTGATGGTTATAACTTAAAATATAAGTAACATATAAATTATTACACCTTGAAGAAAATTTTCTCGATATATAAATCAGTATCTGAAAGTACTATAAGCCTACTAGCAAGAAAAACAAAAACAAACCTATCCCACGGGAACCGTACATTTTCCGGGATAAAAAATAGCCTATATGCTATTCCAGACTATAATCTATTTCTATGCCAAATTTCATTCAGATTCGTTCAGTCGTTCTTACGTGATTGAGTAACAAACATCCAAACATCTAACCTTTTACATTTATAATATTAGTAAATACTCGTATATTATTAAATATTAGTAAATATTAAGATATTTACTAAAGTAGTAAGATGACTTGCTCGATATTAGGATACAAGAGTAGGTTCGGTTTTTCTATTTATTTTTTATGGCCTCATTGGTCTAGCTCTTATCAGGCTTGTATGAAGGGCTGCAGATCAATAAATAGGATAAAAAATTTCCTTGTTGACACACAAGATGGCATCGAGGCTACAATACCCGCCCTAAACGAAATTTAATTAAAGACTTCTGACTTTGTCATTATTAGTCTTATCGAAAAACTTGCGAGAGTTGATACATAAAAAATCCTGTACAAACATAATATATGGGATATAAAAAAAGTATAAAACTTAACTACGATATTAAGGTACGTAATGGAGAGGTCTCCAGTTGTTTTATGTACTCGTATTAATTATAAAAATTTAAGTAAAATGTCACAAAAATATAAAACAAATATTAAAATATCTCAACAAATGAAAAAATTATGAAACTTTAAAGTTGCGCTTGTAAAAATAACTCCGTGACGTCACGCGATCTGAACTACCGACATTAAATTAATTTCTCAGTCATTTATTGACAGATTTCAAAAAACGTTTTACTGATTTATTAGTTTTGATCTATATTATAATTCCATTGCGTTAAATATGATACTCGTATTATCAACATCATGAAACTTCTCCATTTTACATTTTCTACGAGCATTTAAGCATTTTTACTGACCAAGATAATTTAATACTCATGTTTCAATATGAACAAAAACTTTACTGCGTTTTACTGATGCATGTTAGCGTTGTAAAATAAATATACGGTTTCCACGCAATCCCTGCAAATCTGCCAGTTTATAGTAAAATATAAACAATTGCATACATATCTGACCATATATAAAATATAACTAGAAAAATAAATCAAGAACATGAGATCACTTTTATACTTTCTATATTGCACTAAAGTTCTAGTAGCCACCGTCGCAAAAATATTGATACCCTCAGTATAATATACTTACATCATACTCGTATATTTAGCCAGCGGCCTCGCTTGCATGATAGGCGGGACGGGGATGATACCAATGTTAACTTCATTTTTTATTGAATAGTCAAATTTCATCACAATCTGTTCAGCAGTCGAAGCGTGAAAAAGTAATAGACAGAGTTACTTTTATAATATTTTTGGATTTTATCTTCAAAGTCTTGCTTTATTAGTTTTTCCGTAAAAAAGTACTACCTATTGATGCCTATAACTTACCATATATAAGTAACTTCGTGGGCTCCCCACTGACAGTGCGACCAGAGCGGTCCCTCCCCGCGCACCGCCAGCGCGCCGCGTGGCCGCGAGACGCGCGAGGTATCTCCACCGCATCTCCCTCCTTCCAAGCCGACTCTCCACCCCCAGGGGAGGAAGGCAGGTTTATTTGCTATGTGGCAAAAATATATAGATATATGTTGCTTAACAAACATACACACAGGTATATACATATACTAGTCATCCAAAACAGATTTAGATGAAAGTACACAAATTTACTGAAATTACACATATATAGACTGACAGGTACCTAGGGACTAGGGTTAGTCGCTACTATTACATATAATAATACAAAATTTCTTTAAAGCTTGCTTCAAATCCATCGAATTATTTGTATGTTTACATAGGGCGAACCTTCGTAACTAAACAACAGCAGGATTGGGCTCTGAATATATTAAAAGTTTCCTAACACTTTGTTCTACATATTAATCACTAATTATAATTAAACCTGAGCACGTCCGAGTGGAGATGGGTCTATCTAATATTGCTGTATTAATAATTAGAGTAGGTGGCCAAGTGAAAATTTTAAGACTGGTAGTGGAATCGATTTTTTTTAAATGAATTTACTCATTAAATCGAGACTGGATTAGTAAATCTATATAGTATAGCAAATGTTATGTCTAGATCGTAGTAATTATGGGGAGCGTGCGAGTTGAGATGTGGGTGAAGTCCTCCCGACTGTTATACGAACTTTTATATGATAGTCGGGAAATGACTTTAGGGTTGACGAATATCGATTGTTAATATTATTTATTATTTGTGACTACAAACTGGATACAAATAATTAATGAAAATGTACTCCTAAATCTAATAACAGTTAATTGTTGAGTAACAAAAAATGAGTATATCAATAAATTCTTACATGTAGACCAAAGGTGCAGGGCTCAAGATTTGTCGGGGCGTCGTAGTTGAATGCGTAAGCGATCCCGCGACGCCCCATTAAGACGGGAGAAGGTTTTGTTGGTTTAGTGGGTAGTACTGGCTTCGCCGGTGAGTCCAACACCTCGTGCGTAAATGCATTTCCCAACGTTAAAAAAAAAAGGGCTCAAGATTTGACGCTACTTCACTTTGTTTCCGGAGCGAACGTGTTCCAATGTGGTGGGGACGATAATTAAAAAAGTACATTTATTGCATCTAATTAAATTCTACTTTCACTTTCAAATACCACAAGTTTTTTTTTGCATTGGATTCTATAGTAGTACCATTACACTTTGAATAAATAACAAACACGCCCATAAACTTCTAGATTTATAATATAAATTTGATTATTATACTATACCTCGTTATCTTTGTACCAGCGCAGGTTGGTGACATTGACGAGGTCGCACACGATGCGCGCATGCGCATGTGGCTCGACCAACAGCTCGCGCTCCAGCTTTTGTGGCTGACGAGAAGAAACATGATTAGTTATCTATACACATAAATAAAATAGAAGTGATTGTTTATAATGTCAAAATAACGACTTTTTCTGCAACAAAATATATATGAAATTATATACGGCACTTATAAGAAAAACACAAATTTTAAAATTTTTGTCTATCTCTCTGTCTATCTGTTTGTTCCGGCTAATCTCTATAACGGCCGAACTAATTTTGACGGAACTTTCACTGACTAACTTAGGCCTAAAAAAATATATTAACTTGTTACCCACATTATAACCAATCCAGCATCTAGCTACGAGTAGAATCGTGCCGGTGACTTTTGCTAAGTCTTTATATTTCTGATAAAAATGTTATACAATAAATACTGGTAACAATTACATGCTGCATATTTTTTTCACAATATAAAAAATGTACCAAATTGAGAACGTCTCATTAAAAAATTAATGTCAAAGACATTTTAAATAAAAATATCTTTTCGGTTTTTTTTCGCGGATTTATTTTAATGTTTGGTTCCCGAGGTTTCGAATGCTTTACAGCAATCATGGTCACGGGAGAGACTGTTTGTTGCTTCTTTGTGTTGGTTTTAGAAGTCAGAACGAAAATATAGTTTTATTTAAAAAAATCGTTATATTAGTTGTTGCAGACAGTGCCTGGGGAAGGCAAACGTCAACAAAACTACAAATATCTTACAAAAAATGTTATTAAATCTGAAGTATCTTTGAAAGTCCTTATTATTCAAATACTAAATATAAAACACATTCAAATAAACAGGCGGTGCATCTCAAAGCCAACAAACGAACGTAATTAAATTCAACTTGTCTATATTTTAATAAGAAACGAGAAGAAAAAGGGAGGCAAATTAAAATTTAATGTCGAGTAACAGCCTACATCTGAAGCGGTTTGTTGAGATTGTAGCTCATCGCGTCAAGGACGAATAATGCTATAAAATTTTGGTATTGCTATGACGATATGGTTTACTTATACGATGAATATTATAAATAGTAAATAAATATGGAAGAACATTAACACACAGCTCCCTCTAGTTCCATGGTAAGCTACGAGGCTTTTGTTATGGATAGCAGGTAAATACTTGGTACACTAACATATATGTATAACTTTAAATACATACATATTATGAATATAAACACCCATGTCTGGAGTACAAATATTCGTGTTCAACACACAAATTAATCCACAGCGGAACTTGAACCCGCTACCGCTGGCACAGCAAGTAGGGTCACCACAAAGTAAGCCAATCGTGTCGTCAAGTTATGTAATATTATGGTTGATATTAGTATCAAAAAAGTATTTGTCGTGGTCTTGGATTCACGAGGACCATACAATATTTCCTTACTGGCAGAGTAGAAAAAGTGAGTAGTTATTATAATAATGTTTCTATTTAAGTATCTCAAGGTAATTAAGTGCGAAATACTTAATAAAAAAACTTTACTTTGGTTAAAAAATAACTTGTAACATTTAATTATAAAAAAACGTGTGTGTGTACTTACGAGTATGTGTGCACGTCAGAAGTTATACTTCTTTGGCGTAACAGAACAAAAATAGTAAAAATTATACTCTCATATTTTTTCTAAATATATAACAAGAAGAAAATAACTTAAAAAAATCTAATTTTTTTAATACAAAATTATTATACATTTTTAGATATTCAACAAATTAATAAATTTTTAACATAACTTTTTATGCACATGTTTCGCTTTTGTTCTCGTTTATATCGCTTTTAGTGTGCTCAGTGCCTAAGGACCGTCTCGTAATTAATTGGGTCTTCTTGGGGATAAAATGTCGACTCCACGATTGTGAGTTGTTTGCAGTCTTTTGGTAAGTTACAAAACAATTAGGCTTTAAATTCTGGATTTAAGAGAAACATATTACATAATTTAATTACTATCTAATATTACCATAAAATATACATTAATATGGAAATGTTACACACATTATTGTGTATTTGTGTAAGTTTTTTAATATTTTTTTTAACACTTACACATTTTTTAATAATTTATATTCCCATCATTGTGTTACACAACACACATATTCGTCAAGCTAATTTCTTTTAAAAAATAATAAAGAAGATAATATTAAAATCACAACATTATAATATATTTAAAGAACAACGAATAATTTTGCTTACAGAACAAAATATAAATGTGAGATTCAAAGTCGCCTTTAATATATCTGTCAGAGATCATAATAAAAATTGGAGTCGGCAAAAAATAGCCGTTGAGTTACTTTATCAGCTATTGTTAGGCGCCTAGGGGCACAAATAAGTCGTTAGTTTAAAATAGAATACATCTACCAACACCTTAAGGTTGCTTGGAAGAGATCACTGTTCTAATGATAAAGCCACATCTTGTACATAGTCCTATTTCTATTTTTCTTGTACCTACTAATGTATCTTATTTTTGTGGGTGTACAGTAAAATAAAATAAATAAAATAAATACCTTGGGACATTAACACACATTATCATCTAGTTCCATGGTAAGCTACAAGGCTTGCGTTATGGATACCAGATAGTTGATACACTACACATATATAACTTTAAATACATACATATTATAAATATAAACAGCCATGACTGCGGTATAAACATTCGTGCTTATCACACAAATGAATGCCCCAGCGGGACTCACACCCGCAACTGTTGGCACAGCAAGAAGGGTCACTACAAACTTAACCAAACGTGTCGTCATAGTATAGTGCATTCATTATTATTATATTTTATTTCATTCAATTCTTCCATTGCTGGGGTTTATTTTGCACTAACTCGGACATCAGTCAAACGTTAAGTGGTGATGTGATTATTTTTATCTATTATTGCATTGCTAGAAATTTCTAACAACGACAAGTGTTGAGTATAACAGCTTTGTGCAACTGAATATAAATGAATGCGTAAAGATTGAGTTGCTTGAGACTGGTGAGTAGCGTGACTGGTATGACTCAGTGGTTGAGAGAACTATTGGGATTGTTTTGACTGTCTGTCTGTTTGTTTGTTTGTTGTTACGTGCCATTGTGATTTGAGCTTTATCGATAGATATCAGTATATTTTGTTATTTTATTTGTGTGTGTTGTTGTTAAGTTGTCCGTATTTGGTATCACAAAATCAATAAGATAAACTATTCTATTTTTCTTATCAAAAAGTGTTATGTCCCGGCAGTGCCGGATTCAACCTTACCGCCGCCCCTGGGCATAGCTAAAAATGCCGCCCAATTATCGAAACTTGGCTTAAAATGGGTAAGCTTTCGATAAAGTATTTTTTTTAATTTTAATAAAAATTATAATGCAAAAAAATAATTTATAAATATTTTCAATATTTGAAAAATGTACCTGCTAGTATTTTTTTTAATTATTCATTTTTTGGAAAATAACAAAGCTTTTTTGATAACGCAAAGAGATTTTTTCCCACCCTCCGAATTATGCCACCAATAAAAAATTGCCGCCATGGGCACTACCCCTAGTGTAAATCCAGCGCTGTGTCCGGACGATTTTAATGAATTGTTATCTGTAATTGGTATCTGTGATTATTCTTATGTCCCAGACCCCAGTACAGTTTGTGATCAGCTGCATCTATTACTGCTAGTGATTGATATTTTTATTTATAGATCTACCTGTGGCGGAGGAGCAGACACTCTGTCCCTTCTCGCTTCCCTCATCTGGTCGCGGGGCTCGTCCCGCATGACGGGCGCAGGCCGTATCACGAACGCGTCGACGCGCGAGGAGGCGCGCATGCCGGGCGCTGCGCCCGCGTCGCCGATAGCATCGCGTACTGCCCCTCGGATGTTTAATATGGTGTCACCGGTTTTAACTCGACGAGACTAGAACAATTAATAGATAGCTTGCTAGTCGGTTTTTGTGTATTATATAAAATAATAATATAATTCTGAAAGTTCAATCCTCATAAAATCACATTTCACTACAGTTACAAAAACCACTGGCATTGGAAACAAAGGAAACAAGTTCGAATCCCAGATCTTGCACCTTTTAGATTTTTGTAAGCGTTTTATTTTCGGGGAAGGATAAACATCTTTAAATTACCTGTTTATTTGTAAGCACTTTACTAATTTTTGAAAAACGTTAAAGATTGCTCACCGGATACCGTAGTTGTTATGGCTAGCTTCCTTCGCAATAAATGCAAGCAAGCACGCAAGGTACACGCTAACAGTCGAGTATTGAAGAAGCTTAATTATTAGTATTTAATATTTCAAAACATTTTTAGCATTAAAATACCGAGATGGCTGTTGTTATTGATCAATACAATGTGATATAATTATTACCTTTGAGGTTTTGTCCCATTCTTGTCCGCTACTCCGTTTCTTGCGCTCGAAACTATCTTCCTCTGTAGCACTAAAAACATTCTCCGATTTTTCGTCTTCAACTATCGACTCATCATTCAAGTCTTCTTCAGATGTATTTTTTTTATTTTCTTCTTCAACTTTCGCTTCCTCAGCTCTTAAAATTCTATTTAACTCTTCAACATTTGCAGCTGGAGCAACTATGAAACCGTTATTAGATTCTTTTATATTATTTGCCTCTAAATATTTCTTAGTTGATTTTTCAACATCTATAGTAGATTTTTCGTTTTGTAGTTCCCCTTCATCCAAAGTCTGAGAGAAATTTTCAGTAAATTCGTTATAATCATCTGGCGTTATATTGCTATTATCTATATCACTTGAATATGTATTTCTTTCATCTTTTTGCTTAGGAACTTCAAAAATTTTGTTTTCCGATTCTACATTTGATTCATCTAAAGACGACTCGTCCGGTGTAACTAATAAACTACTGTCTTCAATATTTGTTTCGAGATCATCATACTCAACACCAGTAACTTCATTAACCGCAGCATTTTCTATAGATTCTTCATCGTTAAATTCGTTTGTATCAAAAAACGGTCGTAAATGATCGTTGTTAAAATCGGGATCTAAATTAGTAATTTTGTCGATGTTTTCTTCGATGTTTGGCTTATTGAGGTCTTCAGCGTCGACATAATGTTCGTCACGTAGAGGGGGGTATAGAGGGGCATCGCGAAGGAGTTCAGCTGTGTCGAGGGGTGAGGACCGCTCTGAACTACTTCGGTCGGGGGACACAGCAGGGAGAAAGCCTGTGGATAAAATTTCTAATTAGTTGTAGTTCTTATTATCGTGTTAGCGGTAAAGGATAAAGTAAAATACAACTTCATTAACATTTCAAATACTATTAATGAGCCCAGGAAGTTGTAAAACTACTGAATTAACTATTACCGAACAAAATTAAAACAAAGTTTTCTCATGTTTTCACGACGATGTAAATAAATTGCATTTCTTATACTAAAAAGGAATAATTTGCTAGAATGAGTGGGTAATAAAGGTATAATTATTTTATTAAGATTTATGATAACAAGATAAAGCAATACGTTGGCCTTGTGGGTTAGTTGTAATAAGAGCTTGTCAGTTATACGCTTTTATTCATTTTATTTATTCATAGGTAGATACTTTAATCTGCGAAATAATCCGAACAGATAGTTTTATTTAAAATGTCAAATATTCGCGTAAATCTAAGAAAGTATTATGTGGACAGATTTTGATGAAATTTGATATGATAATAGCTGGTTATCCGGATCAACATATATAGCATACTTTTATTGCGGGAAAATATCTCATCTCTGAGAAATCTGTATTAAGCGTTTCATGACAGTTACATTAAGTTGACCAAGTTCACGTAAAATGCTTTTAAATTTCAGTTTAAAACAGACAAATATCAACCTTTGGCTTTGTGCCGCAGCCGGATGTATGATTTTTTATTATTCGATACTAAAGTTGACTTTCTAATTCGTGAAATGCGAAATAAAAATAATAATCATATTACTATTAGGTACAAATCCATACTAATATTATAAGTGTGAAAGTTTGTGAGGATGGATGGGTGGATGTTTATTACTGTTCCACACCAGAACGGCTGAACGGATAAAATTTCGCACAGAGGTAGATTATAGTCTGGAATAGCACATAGGCTACTTTTTATCTCAGAAAATGTACGATTCCGTGGGATAGATTTGCTTTTGTCTAGGCTTTTTTTTAGATTATCCCATTCCCACAACAAATAATACAACCAACAACAGCTCATTATACCTATGTATATATAGTCTATTTGTTCCATACCAACTGTTAAAAAGTACCTAGGGATAAATCCGAGGATGAGCCGTTAGTTATATTATAAATGACAAAAGGTAACTAGTTAATATATATATATATATATATATATATATATATATATATATATATATATATATATATATATATATATATATAATTATAATACTAATATAATAATAATATTTTTTAACTTTTTATAAAAATGTTTACAGTTAAAAAATATTGTAATGGTGTAAAGTAAATAATTGCTGCAATTTTCATTTTGTTAATTGTGGGTAGGCTGTCTGTAACAACTATACATTCAAGACATGTAACACCTCAGTCTCTCCCGTGACCATGGATGCTGTAAAGCATTCGAAACGTCGGGAAACAATAATCAAAATAAATCCGTGAAATAATCCGAAAAGATAGTTTTATTTAAAATTAAATTAATATTAAAAATTTGAACACTTACCATACAATAAAGTTTGAGTGAAGGTCTTATTACTTATTAGGCAGTAAGGACTCATTACAAAGTATACAGCATAAATAAAGTTGTCGTTCAAAGGGCTACAGTGAGTGGAACTGATAAAGGTCGGTAAGTCAGGCGTGAATTTCTGTACCTTAGAAATTTTGGGCGCGACAAAATTTTATTTCCCTACAATTTTCGTGCCCATCTCTTTGTTCATTAGGAAACTTTGTGCTTCGGAATTTGGTTATAAAGACTTTAAAGGATCTTAAATCATTGGAAATTAGATACAAATTATTATGGTTAAAATGAAGGTAAACCCACAAAAATATTTCTTTTCACTCACTCATGATTTTTGGTCGAAAATATTTGGATGTCAGAAATACTGATATTTACACGACAATACAAAATGTGAGCCAAAAATATGGACATAGCTTATAAATTATTTTTCATTCAGCCTAATTAAATTATTTGGCATAATGACTTTAATTCATGCCAGTTGAGCAGAAATTATTTCGCCAATGTTTATTTATTGTTATATGTATAGATATGTATGATATGTATATGAGATATATATGTTTTTACAAGTGTACATAACATTCGCTATAATTACATACATGGAGTATACATTAAATTATAATAAATCCCTAATATACAATTAACAAATACAATTTAAATACAATAAAAATGAATCATAATATGTCAGCACCAGTCAGCTTAAAATAATTTAAATAATGTGAACCAATGTCACGTTGAATGCAGGTGTCACGTCGGATATTGGCCGATGATATTGTACACTATTCCACTAAAAGACTGGATTAACAGTATTAAATAGAAGCATTCTTGTATACCTCCACCTAAAAAAGTAAATAAACCAAATAAAAAATTACTTAAATTATACTATCTATGTAAAAACATGTTCTAAAACTACTTAAGGGGATGTTAGTTTAATTCAGTCTATTTAATGTTCTTTTAAAAGTCTACAGCTATTGTTTTGTTTGTACATAATAGCGGTATCTGTTATATAAATATCGTGGATCGTCACGATACCGACTATTACACAGTACAAGACCGCTGGGTTTTAATGAACGCCTTCAAAGGCAAAGTTATTTCAGACAGGATTCAATTTGGTGTTACGAAACAAAATGTAAATGAGATGATGATTAAGCACTTTCCCAGATATATTTTCTCATTTTACATTACATTATAACACTTTCTTCATTAAAATATTTTGAGATTATTCACGTTATCTGTTATATCCTATACAAAAGTTACCGAGAAAGGCATAGTTATCATGTTGAATAAATAAATCGTGCGAATAAGAACGTTCTTAATATTACCCTCCTATCAATTAAAACTGGCACAATATCTTTAAATTATAAACGAAACCACCTACGTCGCATAATACTACATACCGTTCTAAAACATAATTATTTATAAATTATGTACATATTATATATGTCCATCTAATTGCATATTTCTATCACTTATGCAATACTTCTAACAATTCACACGAATAGGGCAGGTATATATTCCTTTTTACATGCCCTACATAGTATCCTCCAATCTGCTGACATTCGAGTAAAGCTTACAATACTGTGGGAGAATCGAACCCGCAATCCCTAGCGCGATATTTACTTAAAGTAATTAGTTTACTCAAAGGGTTAAGCAAACGAGTGAACCTACTATTATAATGTACGCAAATTATTCCATAGTGCGTGGATTAACTAAATCTATTTACTGAAACACTAAATCAATTAATATATAAAATTAAACCTACAACGAGTTTGTGGTTTAACGTAATTAACGGTGGTGACATTCAACCAACTGGGGCTTAACCAAATAGAACGAGGACACGTTTAGGATCGTCACCCAACAGGCACTGTTTAGAACTAGTATGACCCGCGCCTCCACCTATCGATGGGTTGTATTTTTTTTTAAATGTTTTTTTTTCTATGTGTGTTTGTGAGTAAACCATCTCTTGATAAATTTAAATCTGAAGTATTCTTAAAATACCTGTTGTAAACTTGAATTAATATCCCCCAGAAACAAAATACAATATATAAAATATCCTATGTGCTAATCCAGCACATGGTATATTTTTTGTGCTAAGTTTCATCCTAATTCGTTTCACAAAGTACAGGGATTAATAGTATTCAATATTATTAAACAATAAATAGCCTAAAATTGCCAAAAAGGATTTGGTTTTTGAAAAAATGTAATTAAGAAAGTGCAGAATAGCAACAAATGCTGAAAGCCCTCGAGAGTACTCATGCGGAGTTGAATGATGTGTATAACATTGATCATCGTAGAATAAAGTAAAGTTTTTTGAAGATATTATGCTTATTTGAATGAAAATGAGAATATACAGCAAAATATATTTGTATCTTAAACAAATTAAAAATGCTTAATCTCTTACCACATGTGAATAAACGAAAAAAATTAAATACTTGTTCCAACCTAGAATCAAACCCGTAAATTTTATGTTGAAATCTGTGATAATGAAGACTGCCGCGGAGGTTGTGTTAAAGAAGCTGTTTACTTAAGACCCTAAACAGATTTGTCGGTCCCATTTATATTTCAGCAAAGATCGTCGCCGACCTAAAGCCGTCTCATTATTTCTTAAGGAACGTCGTTTTAAATAAAGGTTCCGTACAGCAGTTTTCACTATTGCAAATATTTATCCATTCGTTTATTTCAAACAAGGTTTTGACAAAAAAAGAGCATGTGGAAAGCTGGAAAATGCGGAAGAAATCGAAAGTGAAGAAATAATAGCCTATGTTGCTCTGTGAGCTATAGTCTATGCGTAGCAACTCATTGATCTTTTGAGTGTGGTGAGGAATAATAATAATATTTTCCTAATCAATTTCAGTAACGGCGGGCAATCTCACTGAAACTAACATTTTTACAGGATATATTGCAATAAACAAGTGTGTAAGCAGACAGTAATGCGCTCTCCATTCCTTTTAACTTTTATATTTCAGTGGGTGAACAGATGGACACGACCATCCGACAAGACAACGTATAATTAAAATTGACACGAGCCGGGACTCGAACCCAGAAGCTACTCCTGCACCTCGATCTAAAAAACCAAAACCAAGGCAAAACCAAGCAACGCTCGTAGCCATTTATAATTTAAGTAAGTTACACTCATAAAGCTCCTACAGTTTTGGCTAAAGTTAGACCACTTTATATGTATTATCTACGGCGTAGACCTTAACTATAATTTAGAGTAATAACCTACAACATTGGTTGACGCCAGATTGCTGTTAACAAAAACACAATTTAATGAGTCCAGTCTACTACAATAATTGTTAGCTTAAACTTTGTATTTGTCAACTAATTGGCGCACTGGTCAGAGATACGCCCGACGAGGATTTCGCTGACACAAACAAACAAGCACTAAGCCGATTTAACTTCTATAAATATATGTATGTACACATAAAGTTCAATCCGTTCAAAAATAGTTTTATTAACAGCTTTGATAATTAATCTTTTACTGAAAGCTCACAAATTTTAAAAATCACATTAAGAGTGATTATTCCGCCATTAATGTTTTTTTTTTCTTATTTGAGGTATAATGTATTCCTTAAAAAGAAAACTATTATAAAAATTGCTTCGCAATAGGCTAAGACGTGTACATGTTCACCTTGCCTAATAAAATTTTGTTCAACGTGATGAGATTTGAATCCCACTATTCCTATCCCTACTGGACATTATTCACGCTGCAAATTGTTCGGTGCTTGATGCGTCACCGTACTAGATAATCTGGATGAAGTCTCATATACTATGTCAGAAGTCGCAAGTTTGATCTCTATATGGGCTAAAGATTTATACTTATAATTGTTTATCATCGTTTAATTAAGAGTTGGCATCTAGTTGATTAGTCCATTTTTATTTCTCCAGATTATCGTCTCTGTGTGTATCAATTTTGGTCTAAATCGGTCCAGCCATTTTAATATAAAATAGTAACAAAACAACACACATAAAAATTTAATATTTTATAATAGTAAAAAACACCAAGTAGATCTCGTTAGATAATAGTGTATTGCAAAAATAGTTCTTTAGAAAGTCAACAAACTGAAAAGAGCACATTCAAAACACTTTTACACGTCACACTCATCCATTGCTCCAAAAACGCGGTATAATGGAAGCCTAATCTTGCTTCTTATAAATAATTCCACGTCCCTTAGATTAAGAGGTCTCAAAGAGACTTTTATAGGACACGGGTAATGGCGGAGTTGGTTTCTTAAAGCGGTTGCCTGAGGTCGGGGCCCGCTGAAGGCATGCACATACATAAATAATGCTCGGCGCTAATTACCTTTTGTAAAACGTCGCTCTTAGTATGTTTTTTGTATGTCTACAACTTGAGCCTAAGTTTAGATTATATATAGTATTTTGGAATGCATTTGTTTGTTTATTTTTTATACTTTGCATTTTCACTTGTAAAGAAAACTAATAAATTCATCAAAAAATTGATTATTTTTTACTTTATTAAGCGGACAGGACAGTTCGGACAGCAAATATTCGTAATAAATTAAAAGGCTTTTTAAAATACAGCGCTGTTAAGACCTTTTAAAAATAATTTAACACTGTCACAAAGAAGCTATCTTTTACCCACTAATATAATGATTGCTTTTACAGTAATAGTGTTATGTTAGAACATAAAGCCGTAAGTTCATAAATACTCGTACATAAAATCGGTAAAGTGCGAGTCGAATTCACACATGAAGGGTTCCGTACCATCGTACATATACTTTTTATTAATATGACTTTCACTCTATGTATGTAGAATATTAACTTTGATTAAGGATTACTTACTCGTACATTAAAAAATGTTTCTTGTATTTCTATTTTTTTTATTATTTGTTCTTTAGCGGCAATATTAATGGATACTTTGTCAAAATTTCAACTCTCTTTATTTTAGAATTCATGAGAAATAGCCCTCTGACAGACGGACTAACCGTGGTACTTAGTAATAGGGTTCCTAAAAGGAAGGAAGGAATCCTAAAAATAAATCGCTCTAGTTCCAAAGATAAAGCAAAACTTTAAGCATTATAA